CAATTTCAAGCATACCAAAAAGTAGAGAATATAGTAATAAACATCCATTAACCCATCACCAGAATTTACCAACTTAACATTTTGCCCAATTTGCTTCATCTTTTTTTTCTAAGTATTTTAAAGTAAATACAGGATGTTGTATCATGACATTTGTCATTATAGTCTTTGTATTTTAGTACTGAAAGCTAAGGACATTTTCCTAGAGTCACCGGAATATCACATCTGATAAAATTGGCAATTCCCAAATATCACCTATGCCCATTCTGTGTTTTGTTTTCTCCATTTTTCCACAAAAGGTCTTTTACATCTGGTTTGTTCTATCAAGGACCACACATTGCATGTAAAGGTAGTCCCATAAGGATATTTTAATCATTCTAGAATGCCTTTTTCCTCTTTTTTTTTTTTCCCTTATTCAGTGAATAAACTTCTAGCTAATCTTTATCCCTACTCATGTGGGATAACATTAGTTCAAGACCAGTGACACCACTAAGGAGTTGGAATGATGTACCTTTATGTTCAGAATGATTCAGTCTCATAGGGTCCCAAACCCATGATTTGCAGCTAATAAATCATTCCAGCACCAGCCAGAATGCACAAGTGCTAGAGAAACGAGAGCTACTTCAGATCTGGGCTTTGTGCATATTCACTTAATAGCTTCTCCATCTTGTCTTCAGAAAGTCACTGGAAGAGCTAGAATTCATTTAACAGTGACTCTCTGGATCTCTGTAGGCTCGATTCTTCAGGATTTGGTAATTTTACTTTGCCCATTTTCTTGTGTTTCATTCTTTTACTAGCTTTTTCCTTATCCTTTTAGGACTCTGGGTTTTGATGGAGTTTTTGAGCAATAAAATGGCATTTTTAAGCTAACTTACTTAGAATGTTAATTCAGTATCAGTAGGACACACAAATTGGCATTTGGAGGTTTAAGCCCACAATTAAGAAAAATCTCTTTTAACCTTTATTCACAAATAGTTCTTAAGCTTTATTTACATTTAGGAGAAAGGGGAAAAGAGCGTTTTTTGTTTTTGTTTTGTTTTTTTAAGTTCCTTCAGCAGAATCCTGAATGCAGTAACTGACTGAATTTAAAGCATAGTATGTAAATGCAGTCTGAATTTTCCTTAGGAGTTGCTAATTGCTCTTCGTAGCTTTTAAGATTGAATTATTAGGACTTCAGAGATTACAATTCCAGGCCATACACCAGTTGAGTAAGACTGCTCCTGTGGGTTCAGTCACCTGTGATGAGGGGAGAGAGGGGCGTTGGAGATGGGGCTGGTGGAAAAGGGGAAAATTCCCTCTATGAGGCCTCAGAAGGTTCAGAAAAAGTACTGTGAAGTATTTTAGAAACTGTTGCCCAGGAAAGAAAACTGTGTTAGCATGTTAGCAAGACTAGCTGGGCTGCCCTAACAAAATACCATAGATTGGGATGGTTTAAATAGCAGACATTTAAGTCACTCAGTTCTGGAGGCTAGAAAGTCCAAGATCATGTTACCATCAGATTAAGTATCTGGTGAGAACCCTCTTTCTTGCTCGCAGTCCTCACTTGTCTGCTCATGGTGGCCTTTCCTTGGTGTGTGCTCTTGGAGAGCGATCTCTGGTGTCTCTTCCTCCTCATCTAAGGGTATACTAATCCCATTTTAGGGGCCCACCCTCATGACCTCATCTAAACCTAATTACCTCCCAAGACCCCTTCTCCAAATACTATCACGTTGGGGTTAGGGCTTCAATATATGAATTTGGGGAGAACATAAACATTCAGTCCGTGACACCAAAGCATATGATTTGAAACTGCCCTGGTAGACTCTTAAGAATACTAGACTATTAAGGTACATTATTTGTCAACACTATCTTCATACCTCCCAGAGTTTGCCCTGGGTAGGGATTTCAGTCTTTGCAGATCATGGTGAACCTGTATTGGTTTGGTCACAGTGTTTCAGGCCACCTTAAAGAGAGACTGTTGGCTGTCCCTGTAGTCAGTCAGAACGGATTGCTTCTAAGTAACTTTATTCTCAAAGTGACATCATACTGATAGCCAGAAACTGTCCTTTCTGATAATCATGTAAATAAGATACCATTTACAGGTTGAAAGAGAAGGGTTTCTCTTCATTATAAGAGGAGTTTTGGTGAATTACAGGCAAAAAAAAGAAAAATTTGATTTTGAAACAGGCACAGAGGTAATCTTATCCTGACAGGGTTTAATGTGAAGTCACTCTGGCCAGAGAATAATCTTATTAGGGCTTTAATTAAGAGCACGAGGTGTTGGGTTGGTTTTCGTGTTTTTTTTTTTTTTTTAATGTCTTCTTATCTATCTTCCTCTTTTCTTTCCTTCCGCTTCCATGTTGTCCTTAGCCCAGCTCCCCTACCCCCCCCCATCATCCTTTAACATTTAAAATGTTTTTGGCTTGGCTGATCCCTCTGGATAGGAACTGAGCTAGGCAGGATATTGATTACCAAATATGGTACTGCTGCTAAAGATGTTAGAGGAATGTGGCTTGTATTCTAAGCCTCCGGCCTCTGAATAAGCTGCCAAACAAATTAGGTCATTTTAACTTCTGAGCTTGCCTTTTTTTTTTTTTTTTTTTTTTTTTAAATAAGGAGCTGGAACTCTGATTTGGAACACGATGGTGTTGTTACTTTAGCTCACACAGGGAGGAGGAATATGAAGAGGGGCTTGGGAGTGGGGGAGACTCAGTTCATCATGTTTTAGGACAGGAGCCACCAGTCCAGGTGGTGTAAAAGGCAGGCATGTTGTGCGGAGCCTCTGTTGACCCTGGAACACCAGTGGAAGAGCTGAGGCATAGAATTCGGATGTGCCGCCTCATTGCCTTCTTGTTACTGAGGCTAGAAGCTCCAGAGGACCACTGACAGGTCCCAGGATGCTCTTCTCCGGGTACAGCGGCCCCAACCACAGTGATCAAGTTGATGTGGGCTGAGGTTTAGAAAAGTTTCTTCTTCACAGGAGGGTTGGTGGAGTTCAGTGCCAGGGAGGACACCCTGAAATTGATGGCAGATCGTTACTATGCATAGCTCATGGGGTGTCATGTGAATACGCGAGTCCTTCCACAACATACTTTTAAATGATAGCCAGGGGCTGACTGCATTTGTCTCCCAGCAAAGACCACAGCTCTTCGGGTCCATATTTGGAAATATTTATTCTGTTGTGATATTAGCTTTGATAGAGTGAAATGCTCTTAAGTGGAAGCGGATGGAAGTAAACTCTGCTTCAGAATACTACTGTGTTCCTTTTCCTCATATACATCTTTGGCAAGATAATAACTGAGGTTTCCTAAGTTGAAACAAAAACTGAGACCAGTTAGGGAAAGAATTTCTTTTTACATTTCTTATAACTGGCACCCCCTTTTTGCTTCTTGTTGTCGGTTAGGGCTGTACAAAGTGGATTCCTTCTTTTCCTGCCCAAACCCGTTTGCCACCTTCAGTGGGTTTCTTCTCAGAGAGTGGATAAATCAGGCTCACAAAGAAATTTCACCCACTCCAGGATGTCTGTAGGTCAGGGCTTTTGTTGTACCTCCCTGAGGACCTCTCTTGCCTCCTTCCCCCTTATTTCTCTTATTGCTGCTACCATCCAGTCACAGGCTCTTCTTCCCATCTTTGGAGCTGAGCCTGTGATGTTCAGAGTTGTTCATCCTGGTGCACGGAGTCAAGAGATTCTTACTGATTTCTGGTGGGAATTACTTTGACTTTTCTTCAAGCTAATCAAGTAGAGGATTTGGGGGCTCATCGGCCCACATGTGCACTAAATGGAAAACCTGTATTCTTAGGATACTCCTTTTCAGAACTCCACCCCCTTTCCAGAACATACCATACAGACAGACGTGGGACCTGAGCCTGTTTTGGATGCACATTTATGCACTATACTGGGATATCTTTTTGTTAACTGTTGTTGGAATACATAGCGTTGGAAAATAGATATCATGAGGTTATTCATTATGCTTAGTAATGGAGGCTTTTTTTTTTTTTTTAAGATTTTATTTGAGAGAGAGCAAGCCCGAGTGGGTGGGGGAAGGGCAGAGGGAGTGGGAGATGCAGAGTCCCCACTGAGGGCAGAGCTGGACTCTGGGCTAGATCTCAGGATGCTGAGATCGTGACCTGAGCTGAAGGCAGATGCTTAATAAGACTGAGCCACGTAGGTACCCCAATGGAGGTATTCTTGAATGGTGGGAGAGTTTCAAAATAGACTTGTCCTAAATCTTGTGTTTTTATGATGTTTGTTATGTATTGAATTGTTTTAGGTAAACTGCAATATAGGGTCAAGGGTAATTGAAATTACTACCCTGTCTTTGGCCGGTATAATCTGTTTTCTAATCATGTAGCTAATAGGCCAGCCGTAATCAAAACTGGGACTTTACCACATCAAGACATTAAAATTTTATATAAACTTGTAAGCTAACTAGAATTAAATGATACCAGTTACATTGAAATCTTAAATCTTAGTTCCTGTTTTACTAACTCAAATACATGTATCACCATGAAGAAAGATCTCTAGTTAGGGAGGGGAATTTTCTCCCTTTATTTCTAGGTGATGAAACTAAGGCATTGAAGAATGACATTGTTTTAGGCCAGTGTCAGAACACTACGAAGGGCCTAGATCGCTACAATTTCCAGTATTACACAGAGCTTTACAGGAATTATTTTATTCTCATTGGTAGCCATTAATTGAAGTTTTTCACTATGCTAGGAATTTGCTGGTCCATATTTAAAACTTGAACCTAACGTTCAAAACCTAATGTTTTTGTTGAGGAAGAAAAAATAATTGAAAAAACATGTAACTAAATGTTTTAATTAAGTAAACAAAATCTCCCCTGACTTTCTGGACATGTGGTATTACAGGTTTTCATGTATTCTATGTAAGTAGTGAGAACCAGAGTTCTCGCTGACCTTTTTATTCTGATAGGCCAGGATTTACTGGTGTGTTTATTTTGTCACCATTCCGGTTTGACTCTAAGGAAATGAAAACATCTTCCATTTGTTCTTTATTTCCAAAGGGCATCCGCTTCGATCCTGAAATTCCGCAAACACTACGACTAGAGTTTGCTAAGGCAAACACGAAGATGGCCAAGAACAAACTAGTAGGGACTCCAAACCCCAGTACTCCTCTGCCCAACACTGTACCTCAGTTCATTGCCAGAGAGCCATGTAAGTTGATCTACTTTTCATTTAAAAAAAAAAAAAGAATAACCAAGAATTGTTTGCTGCACGTGAAATTACACCACAGGACCGTAGAGCTAAGTGTCATTTTCCATTTCTGTGAAGAGGCTGTGGATTCTTCCTGTCTGAATTCCAAATACAGCAATCTTGTTGATGATTGGTTGTCCTAAATGGTGGTTCGGCTAGATTAGAACTGTAACTACTACAAAATTTTGTTTGATGTGCTGTAGATTTCCTTAATGTCATCTTGACCTTATTGTGAGAGTGTTCTGTTTGCCTGGGGGTACAAACCCTTCTTTATTTCCCCATCCCTGGATAGGAGAGTCAGTTCTCAGCATTTACTTCATTTGTTGAAGATCATCAGTTCTGTGGCTGGGGAAAAGAGAATATTAAAAGTGAAAGCAGCAGATAAGTTCTATTTTTGAGAACAGTTGAGCCCATAAAATCTAGAAGGAAAAGTAAACACACACAGAATTTATATGTTGGAACAATCAGTTCTAGCAAACTAATACTGGTAAATTTAAGGAAATCTAGGGCTTCCTGTTTTAAATTAATTGGGTAAAGACACTGACTAATTGCTAAACAAGTGTCTTACCCCACCTAATGAGCTTATTCCCTTAAATGGCCAGTCTACAGTTTTGCCTTTGATTGAATAACTTGAAAAGGTTGTCTTAATTTTCTTTCTTAAGCTCAATCAGCATAAGTGAGGCGTGAGATAGGCCTTAACTTTTCATTGCGTAGCTATATGTGATTTAATATGGCAGGGCATTCAGGGACTCCCAAGTGACTTGCTGTTATTTGGAATATTTTTGCCTTCTTTCTTGATCTTCTTTCCAAACCACATGATCTTGATCTTCCTGCTCTCCTTGACAATACTTTTCAACTTTTCTTTTTGAAATTGAAGGGCACATGAGTTTCTTTCTTCCCCCATGTCATGTGTGTGTCAGATTTAATCAGGTTATTTTGGAAGTTAGAGCCATTTTGTAGCCCTGTAACTCTTGAGAAAGCTGCCACTTGTCAGTGGAAACTAACAGATAAGAGTTTCTCCTCCAGCGTTTTCTAAAATTTTTCTGTGAGTCCAGGGCGCCTGGGTGGCTCAGTCATTAAGCATCTGCCTTGGGCTCAGGTCATGATCCCAGGGTCCTGGGATCGAGTCCCGCATCAGGCTCCCTGCTCGGCGGGAAGCCTGCCTTTCCCTCTCCCACTGTCCCTGCTTGTGTTCCTGCCCTCTCTCTCTTTTAAATAAATAAAATCTTTTAAAAAAATAAAATAAAATAAAAATTTTCCTTGAGTCCAGAAGTCATAATAAAGAAAAAGAAATTTGTTCTTCCATGTCCTAGAGAAACTTGAATCCTTTCTAAACAAAAGTTTCATCTTATGATCCAGTTGCACTACGGGAGGCTGAGTGGACATTTCTTACACCTTTCTGTCTCCATATAGCATCTAGTTCAGTTACCTTTTGTACATTGTATATATTTAATATTATAGTGGTAAGTGGATAAATATTTTAATTTGGCTATTTGCAGAATTATTCCATTTGTATGCCTCTTTATTTCCCTTTGAAATGTCTTCTGTTGATTAAGGCGTCAGAAAAGAGAGATTTGTAAGATACCTTGATTTAGAAAAGGTAACCTAGAGTACCTCTTTAGTTTTCTAGTGAATTTTCTGCCTCAGATCTGAGAGTGCTTTGAAAAGGTGAATTCAAACAGCAAGTATAGTGCTGGTAATATTTTATCCTTTCAATTCTTTATTGAATGCTTTTGTTCTGGGACCTCAGTTGTGTTTTGTTTTTTGTTTTTTAAATCTGTTTCAAAAGCTCGTGAAATTGGTAGCCAGAAAGGTGATAGCCAGTTCACTACAGGGTACACAAAAGCAACAGAGATGAACAAACTGGACATGCATAAGTCTCTGAAGTTGTAGGAGAGCTCAGAGCAAAGTTTAGAACACCGCTCTGGCCAGCTCTGCCCACCTCCCTTCCCTGTGTATAGAACAGCTCAGAAGTGATCAGATAATTTCCATGGCACGGTCAAAACTGGTCCGGGCTGCTTGTGGCAAAACAAACTTGATGTTTAAAACAAATCCAAAACACTGGCATATTCTTGAGAAAATAAAAGTTAGCATGATTTCTCGTAATATAGCTCCTTTCTACGACACAGGGTTCTTGATGAACAGCAGTTCCACTCTGACTCAGATCGCCTTTATCGTCCATTACAGTTCCCTTTGGGAATGATGAACTTCCCTGTCACATAGGCAGAATTGTTTTCCTGAAAGCACACTGCAGACTAAGAACACTGATGGGTCTTTACTGGCAATTCCAGTTGCACTGTGCCTTTAATGGGTGTTCAAGGTGGTGGTCAGTTCAACCACTGTTGAGTAGACTGCAGTGGAATCTTAGAATTGTAGGATTGGAGCACCTGGGTAGCTCAGTCATTAAGCATCTGCCTTTGGCTCAGGTCATGATCCCAGGGTCCTGGGATCGAGCCCTGCATCGGGCTCCCTGCTCAGCGGGAAGCCTCCTTCTCCCTCTCCCGCTCCCTCTGCTTGTGTTCCCTCTCTCTCTCTCTCTGTCAAATAAATAAATACAAATCTTAAAAAAAAAAAAAAAAAAAAGAATTGTAGAATTGGAAAAACCCTGTAGTGGCGCCTGGGTAGCCCTGTCAGTTAAGTGTCCAGCTCTTGATTTTGGCTTAGGTCATCATCTCAGGGTTCTGGGTTCGAGTGCCTCTTAGGCTCTACACTCAGTGGGGTGTCTGCTTGAGGATTCTTTCTCTCCATCTCCCTCTGCCCCTCCCCCCACTTGCTTGTGCTTTCTCGCATGCGCTCTCTCTCTCTAAAATAAATCTTTAAAAAAAAAAAACCCTACAGACTTCCCTGTTGTGGATGATGAGAGAGGTTTTTAATGTTTCTTTTTGTCAATGTTTTTTTATAGTTGTGGCTGAAAAGTATGCATTGCCATCACTAAAGGAAGAATGTGCTAAGATTCAGTTATACAACAAATATTTACTTGAACTCTCGTTTCTCAGATATCTGTTGAACTTTAATGAGCTCTCAGTGTGCTAGACACTAGGAAAGAAGGGGACTGGTTGCTGCCTTATAAGAGCTATCAGTCCAAGGGATTGGTGGTGGTCAAAGTTGTCAGGAAACTTGGCCCACATAAAGAATGTAAAAGATTTTTTGCAGTTTAGTCCAGATTGCTCCGAATCAGACTGTCTTATTTGCCAAGCACCTGCTCTGTTTGTGCAGAGCATGAAAAATGAGAAAATTAGGTATTGCACTTGCCAAAGGAGATGGTGGCCTGCAATGGAGAACCTTGGCCTTAGACTTGAAGATGTCCGTGAGAGTTCTGGTTCTGCCAGTCATTGTCAAGCTTGTCAAGTCATTGTCAAGTTGGGCCTTAAACACATTGAACCTTGCTCTGCTCCTGTTCTCTCAGCTATAAAATGGGAATAATACCTTATTCACATGCTTCTTATAAGAGCTAAATAAAGCAAGATCCTAAGATTGTGTTGAGGATTAAGTGGCTGTAATAGATGTAGAGCACCAGGCAAACATAAAGTATAATCTTAATTTCTTAAAAAAACAACTGAGTCACTTTTCTTTCCCAATTGTTAAAAGTAGGCATTGATCTTCTGAGGCTTTTCATCACTGTGACTATAGCCAATTGTCTTTGGAAATTAGAAGAAAGGATGAATGAGAGTGTCACACACAGTCCTGGGAAAGTATTACACTTCCGTAATGAAATTTTTATAGTTTTAACTTCTCACTCTCTTGTATACAATGAAGCAAGAAAAACACTGTGAGAAAGTAGGAAGTAAGAGATAACAGAAAATTTATAAATTACATAAAATTCTGCTAGATGATGCATTTGCTTGTACAGGAAAGTAGTGTTCTGTAGTATAAGAACTCCACTTTAGAGATGAAAACAGGGCAAGTCACCGTCTCTCTGAGTTTTGTTTTCCTTGTCTATAAAATGATGATACTATGTGCCAGACATTGCTAAACATTTTACGTGAACTGGATTCTCAGTAGCACTTACAGTTGAAAAATAGGCCTTAGGAAGATCCAGTAACTTGGAGGTGTTACGGGTTGAATTGTGTTCTGCCAGAATTCATATGTTGAAATCCCAACAACCACCAGTGGCTCCGGATTAAGTGTATTTGGAGATATGAAGTCTTTAAAGACATCAAATTAAGCGGGGCCATTAGGGTGGGCCCTAATTAATATGACTAGGTTCCTTAAGAAAAAAAGATGGACAGGGATGTGTTCACAAAGAGGAAAATCAGTGTGAAGACCTAACAAGAAGGTGGCCATCTGCAAGCCAAGTTACAGAGGCCCAGGAGAAGCCAAACCTGCCCCCACCTTGATCTTAGAACTTATAGCCTCTAGAACTGTGAGAAAATTAATTTCTGTTGTTTAAACCATCCAGTCTGTGGTATTTTGTTATGGCAGCCTGAGCAGACTAATACATCAAGTGATAGAGCCTGGATTTAAATTCTGACCTGTTACTTTTTAGTATTGTAACTTAGATCTAGTTACTTAACCTCTCTGTCTCCATTGTCTCATCTATAAAATGGCAGTAATAATTAAACTTACCCATAGGGTTGTGAGGATTAAATCAATTGACACGAGAGGGCCACATTCACAAGAGTGAATAATTTCAGTGACTGTTTAACATGTACGTATAAGAATGTATACATTGGGGCATCTGGGTGGCGCAGTGGGTTAAGCGTCTGACTCTTGGTTTTGGGTCAGGTCATGATTTCAGGGTTGTGAGATTGAGCCCCGAGTTGGGCTCCATGCTCAGCACAGAGTCTGCTAACGTTTCTCTCTCCCTCTCCCTCTGCCCCTCCCTGTGCTTGCCCTCTGCCCCCCACAAATAAACAAACCTTTAAGAAAAAAGAAGAATGTATATGTTGATATGCCTTCTGTTCTCATAGTTGAGACCTGTAGTTTTTCTGCCTTTGTAAAATACTTAGCATCTGGAACCT